AGAGAGAGAGAGAGAGAGAGAGAGAGAGAGAGAGAGAGAGAGAGAGAATATTGCGCACAACATTTTCTCCAATTGAAAACTGGATTTTTTGTTCGTTCGTCGAAGCATCATCATCCATGCATGGTAATAAATAAATGTGTCATATGGCTGCCGCGACATCAAAACACGAATAAATATCTCAAGCCAGAAAATGAAAAAGAGAGAGAAAACCCTTTTTTGTCATGGCATTTGAAGAGAGAAACCGAGTCCATAGAGCATAATAATGCTCTCGCGCATACCGTAAAGTCTATTGAAAAGCATATTGTTCACGCATGTAATTTTTCAATCAACCCCAAGTGGTCCGAGTTGTCGACTCGACGCACCTTGAGCAACTAACACTTCTTTTCCTTTTTTCTCGTTCCCACTTCGGACGGTAATTGCATGTTTCATCCGTGCGACAGCAACAGCAGCAGCAGTAACAACAACAACGAGCACGTTTGTATTTACTTGTGAAGTCGTGTGTGCATTCCACTTCGGGGTCTTCGATCACATATTTATGTCTTTCATAAAAATGCATCGACAATAAATGTACCATCCAAAGGAGCCTCTATTGTTTGAACTAATGCACGGGTAGAAAAAAAAAATGGGAAATACACAAAGCGAACAGATAAAAGCGAAGTGATGGTTTACTTGTTTGTGTATCAGTGGTCGATTAAGCCCCATAGACTGTAATGCACGTTTGTTTTTCATCTATAGTTTGTATGCGACCTTTCTCCTTTCTTCTCTATCCTACCATATATTCAGGCACTATTTTTTTCCACTGTCTTTGTTCGGCAAAGCAATGCGTCATTGTTGAGCCTGCATTTTAATCGCTTCGTCGAGTGAAATTAAATACACCGGTCAATCGAACTAAGCATGCATGAAATGTATCCTGGTGTTCGATTTTTGCCTGTGTGCACGCTGAAAAAATTGTCTGCTCTCAACTATTGAGCCATACACGAACACACATTTTCCTGCCCGGCCAGCCCTGCCAGTGCTAGTAGCTCTTTTTAATTTTACAATTCCATATTTGTTTTTTTTTACACTTTCATGGCTTTGTTTTTCCCTTTTTTTCACTCGCTTCAATCGCGATTTCATTTTTTTTGCACAATGCCGGTTCGCAGATAATTCCCATTTGTAATGCTAATCGCCTGGTTGGAATGCATTGTGTGGTTGGGTCGAGAAATCATAAAATTACTATTCAAGCAATAGATATAGGAAAAAAACGCACACCGAGAGAGATGGAGAGAATATAACGTATATTCAAATTAGGCGCTCCGGAACCAGAATGATATAGTAGTGACACATCGGTATGTTTTTTCCATTGTGATTACGGGCAGCATGTCGTGTAAAATGCAATAAATTTCTCAACCATATGTGTGACAATATTGACCGATAAAGAATCGATGCACGTCATTAGACAAAAGTGAGTGTCGGTATTTCGAATGGATCGAATAAAAATGGATGTCTTGTGGTTAGGCAGTTGGTTAAAGCATGATGTACCATCCTTTGTCTCGAGGCAACCAAACACACTCAACAATGTTTCTTAACATAGAATATCATGCCCATTAGCCCATTCGGATCAATTATATTTTCCATTAGTCAGTCTCTATTCCGAGGTGCTTTTGTACCACGTCATTAATCGCAATGCCTGCGGGGCGTGTGTGTGTGTGTGCGCTTGAATGCAGCAAGCAGCAGCAGCTCATAACAAATCTCATTTAAACGAATCCTCTGTAAATTGTGCCAAAAAAAATATCTGCAATTCGCAATATTTGCCCAGCGGATATTCCGATGGCCCAAATAACATCTGGCAAATCGATGTTGCTAATGAGAAACATAAATAATGGAAAACAGTGACACATTTTGATTTCAACTGAACATTCATCGTTCTTTGAACAGATTTTCGGCACATTTCCTAAGGACACAAATAACGATCGAAACGTCGGCATAATGAACCATGTGGCGACATGTAAAAACAAACTGCGCTCAGAATAGGCAAAAAAAACGTCAGCTTTTCAGTCTTGAGACAAAACAGAGTTTGACATTGAAATGAAACGGTAAATTAGGAGAAAAAAAAAGTATGTGTGTTTGTTAATGTTCAAGATCACCACATTTTACCCCATGGAGGGTGCGCATTTCAGTGTTCATTCAATGTGTTATCGTATCAGGCCGACTGCTGATTGCTGCCAGACATATGACAAACACGATAGTTCACACAATTTTTGGAATGTTTAAGCAGCATATTCTGTGTTAGACCAGAACGAGAGAGTATGTTACATAAAAAAAGTAGTCAAAAATTGAAAGAAACAAGGCAATAAACTGATACAATCCGACGTAAAAAGTCATTCGAAAAAAATGCGCCAGTTAAAGTGACTTTGTGAAGCAGATCAACTACATATTCAACGATTGAGATCCCAATAGTCGATTATACACCATCGAGGATTAATGTCTGGTGTATTATTTTTTTTACTCGATTCGTTTGTCCGAAAAAATGTTGCTTTTTTATGTTTTCTATTTTATTTTTCGACATTTTTTTCCTCTTTCTCTCTCTGCTCCGTTGTACTACTGGGAAATGATGATGCTGTATTGAAAAAGGGCAAAAAGTAATAGAGCTGTTTTCAATCCGATTTTAATATCCGTAATAAAAATTGTAGCTACATGCACATTAATCGGCCCTTTTGTTGTTCAAGATTTGTTCTCATCATTTCCGAGCGGCTGTGTCAACTTCTCTCTGTCTATCGCTTCACAGAAGACATATACACTGCTTCTTCTACATTCAGTCTTTCTGATTTTATTTAACTTGAAAAGAATTTGTTTTTTTTTCTTTTATGCGCATAATTTTCTCGTCGTCTTGTTGATAGAAATGAAACAAAATTATGTTTAATATTTATGTTGCTTTGAAACATGTTTGAATAGTTCCAACGGAGGATTATTTACTATAGTTCAGCTCCTGATGAAAAACACAAATTGGCTGCTGATTCTTTCTCTTTTTTTCTGTAGCATTTTGAAAACGAAGTTTATATGAATATGAAGTGAATTGTAAAAAAACAGGATTTTCAAAATGGCTAAATAGTATTTAGTGATTATACGGAGTAACCGAAATTGCAGACACAGAAAAATAACTTGAAACTAAAGAAAAAGGAAACTACTTACGCACCAAAAACCGTTCCCTTCTTTTTTAAGTGGATTTTTTTTTCTCTCGTTTCGTTTTTGAGGATTTTTATCAATTTTCGTATTCTATTTTCGTCGGTTGTTGTTGTTTTTTCTCTAAATTTTGCCTCTTCTGAGTTCGTCCTCCCATTGCTCATAATCCGGAGTTGTGCGTGAATGGAATTTTTCAGACAGCAGCAACAGCACCAACAACGATGCTCACCAGCCAGTTTATATCAAATATACGGAGCATATGCCGAAAGACAGGTGCAGCCAGCACCTTAGTCAATTCTATGAAATTTTCGACCGAATCGAGATGTGTTAAGTGTGATTTCGAATGATGAAAAAAATGGTCGAAAACCCAATTTTCGATTAAAATGTGTGTTTGGCGCACATATCCGTTGCACAAGAAGGAAACCTCATTTTATGAGGGTCTGACCGAATTTTAATAACTTAAATGCTATTAATGTTCGAAATTCAAACAACCTGTGTGTCGAAGCATTCATTTCAAACTCACATCATTGTTGTTGTTTGAATTCAACATTGAAAAATCCCCGAAAAAAAATATGTATGCAACAGTTGTGGTGCAATGAACGTCCGATTCGGGGCAATGTTACGATAAACTAGATCAGAATGTGTATTTAAATTTCAAAAACCACTTTGTTTGTTAGAAACAAAACACAGAAGACAACAAGAAAAGAATCGTTACGTCGAAAATAATTTATATATTTTAAACGAGATTGTAAAATTATTCAGCTGCCCACTCGGAGCTGGTACACTCAATTCGGTAGCATTCCTTGAGAGAATGCGCGTAAGCGGCAGCGTCATAATTTTTTTCTTGAATAATTTTTCACGTGCTTTGTGTGTGTGTGTGTGTGTGTATGGCATGCGCGTTGATCGTTCGTTTGTTTGTTCTAATTGAACACACTTCTTAAGCTCGAAGAATTTATGTTAAATAATGAAAAGAAGAAAAAGAACGAAACAACTTCGCCGAAAGAAGGTATTTTGATCCCACGAACGGTGTGCATCTCATTAGATTCTATTATTTACATTGTTTATGCACATGCCGCGCGCCCTGAGCTATTTGACCTGCCGTTTGCTTATGTAAAATCGATTCATATTTTTCGATCGAAATTAATTGATTCGACTGTTGGATGCGATCGATGGCAGAGAGAAGAAAATAAATAAATGTTTATGGAATCGTTTGTAAGATGTAATTTTGTATTTAAATTTCAAAATTTATGTGGTTGATGTGGTGGGCACAGACACTCTATTCATGGCAGCCTGGTTTGACTACGCACTAGTTCAAGGAGAACCGTGGAGTATTAAGAACCACATCGTTA